ATTTTTAGCGGAGGAAAGAAAATTAAAATCTTAGAAAAATTAAAATCGTCAGAAAATGTCTTTTATACTCCTTTACACTACTTTACTACCTTTACTCAGGAATTTTTTAGGATTTTTTGAAGTAGTGGAACAATATGAAAAACAACAATTAAATCCCATATTAATACAGTATGAAAAAAATTAAAAACTAATATTTTTCTAAAATATTCTGTTTTAACTAACTTATATTTTTTTAGTTTAAAAAACTGCCTAGAAAATATTTTTGTACTTCAAATTCACAATGTTTATCACTGGCGTAACTACAGGGGTGGCCGGTGGTGCTGGCCCCCCCTCCCAGGTACTGCTGGGCACCCCCCAGAGAAATCCTGAATTATAATTCTTGGCAACGTATTAATTTTTATTTGCTTGTGATGTAGTAAAAATGATGTTTTCTAGTTTTGTTTAGTTAATATTATTTTGTTGTGTTCAAAAAATGTGTTAATTTTTTATTATTTTTTAGAAAATTTGTATGTATTTAAGTAATCTACGGGAACACGGTTTGATAACCAAGTCTATGAAATTTATTGATAGAGAAATTCATGTAAACGTTTTATTCAAAAAATGTGTTTTTTGAAATTATTTTTCATTTTAAAAAAAACAGAAGCCCTAGGCCCCCCCTGGGCTCAACCCAGGCCCCCCTAGGCCCACCCCAGGATAAATTGCTAGTTACGCTAATGATGCTTATTACACATTTTCAATCATATTGCTACGCAATGATTACGTAAACACAGGGTTTTTGAAAAATTCGCGTCAAGCTGACGCATTATAACGCCATCTACTGGGATTTACAGTAACCAACAATCATATTCCTCTAAAGTTTCGCTTATTTAGGTAACCTAACAATAAACTAGTCTTCATTGTTGTATGTATTAAATTGCAACTAACCCATTTATAATTTCAGAAGATTTTAGAAAAAAAAATGAGTTTGCGTAATTATTATTTTTCATATTGTTACACCACTTCAAAAAATCCTAAAAAATTCCTGAGTGTGAAGAAGTATAAAAGACATTTTCTGACGATTTTTAGTGAATGACATATTTCACGAAGGTTAAAAAAATGAAAATTTTAATTTTCTTTCATCCGCTAAAAATAGGCTTTTTGTTTATGAATCATGATCATATTATTTTTTCATGTCTTAGACTTCCAAGAATTAGAAAAAAAATCAGCACTAATTAATTTTGAATTTTACTATAAAAATAAAAATAAGATTGAAAAGAACAGGTTTTTTTGCAAATCTCAGAAACCGTTTGAGTTAAAGAGCTAAAAATTTAGATGAATTATTATGATTCGACACCAAATCGAACCCCTGAGTGCTATACCCTTTAACCTAAATTCGTACTAATGTCGATTTTGAAAATAGTTAGTCTAAATGTCACTAGAAAATTGCCATGGCGACACCAGCCAACTTGATTACGATTTTATTGAAAAATCGCTTTTTATTCAAAATCTGAGCTAGATAGGTGTAGGAAACTCTAATATAATTTGAAAAAGCATTTGAATCTGCTTCAATTTATTTAAAAAAATACAGGGTATTGCATTTGAAATAACGAAGTTTTTATATAAAATATATCCTTAAAATAAATCAGCAATTTTTGGTACCCCTGTATAATTTTAAGGAAGCAATAACATTTTCCGGTAAAATTTATTTCCCCACCTTTAAACTCAGCACAAGAATTAATTCTGAAAAGTAATGTACAGGGTGTTAATAATCTATTGTAGCATGCATATTTAAATATCTTTAAATACATCCCAAACCAAAGATTTTAAACATATTTAACCCTTATAATATATGCCTTATTTTATGCCCAAGAATCCAAAAATGAAATAAAATACCGGCTATTCCCTAAGCAGAAATATAACTTTGATATGGATCTTAGTTCTGAAACACCCTGTATATTTCGTTAAAATAGGCGTAGTTTAATTAAGGTTTACCGCACTTTAATTTAATTTACGATTTTGTGAAAAAGCACTAACAATTTTAATGCTTTATTTCTCTAGGCATATATTTTTAAAACCAAATTTTGTACTAAAGTTTTTATATTTACTAGATTGTGTTGCAATAATAATATGCAAAATTTTATGTTATATCCAATTATGTACAGAAAAATTGGGGGTGCTATTTAAAAAAACTTAATGCTTTTTCATAACTTTTTTTGGGACACCCTGTATGCACCAAAATGTTTTTTAGGATATGCACCATTTTAAACCATACAACATCTGTATAGATCTTTTTTCATGTCTTTGCCAACAACGACGATATTGGACTGTAAACATATGACTGTAAATATGTGGCAGTAAATCTTACTTTATATTTATTTTAAGAAAAGCTTTAACCTCAATAACAGATATAAAAAAAAATATGCATATTTAGGCATTTTTTTAAAACTCACGATTAAAATTTGTAATTTTTTTGTGATACACTATACAGAGTGGTCGGAACTGTATTCCGGAAACTTCGGCAGCATATTCTGCAGATAAAAATAAGTAAAATAGTTCGTATTATCTGACAAACGAATCTAAAACAGCGGAAGGAATTCGGGCAAAAAAAGTCGATGTTGTCACGTTTAATTATAGAAAAGCAAAGTAGCTCGATATTACCTATAAATTGAATATATTTTAGTTCATTTCAGCATACATAATTAGATATATGCTAATATGTTGACGTAGTTCTTATTATAATAATGTATATTTATCTAATTAAGAGATTTCGTTCATTCTGCCTATTATAAAAGGTAAAGTATTTCCTTAAGATAAAGTCCGTTTAGGGTAAGCTGGCAACGCTGACAAAATTCATCATGGCATCCCAGATTCAACCAGTCTGATTGGTCGAGATTCTCGCACGTCTTGCCGCCATTACCCCCAACTTTATGCCCCTCTCTAGGAATAGTAGAAACAGTCACTACTATTGAAAAATCCAGTGGCGCTGTTATTGTATTGTGTTTTATGTCTTTAACTTGATTTGTGTTTATTGTAATTAGTACACGCGTTTTAACAAATATTACTATATTTGGCAAATGACTAAACAAAATGTAGGTACATTTAAAGTAAAATAATATTATAAACTTTACTGGAAAATATTATAAAAATTCCTGATATATTTTTATGAAACACCGCACGCTCGTGGATATTTTATGAATGAAATCGGTCATGATTTTAGAAAATTGCGATCCCCTCACCGTTGCCCTGCTGTTTCAGATCCGTTTGTCAGACTGTATAAATATATATCCTAAAATGCTTCGATTTGGATATACAGGGTGTAGAAATTTCATTTTTATTTCGATTTTTCCCAAATAATTTCTATGAAGTAAAAAATATACATTTACGACATTTACTGCGTAAAAAAGGTCTCTTGGTAAAAATCGCTCCGAGTAATGATTCTCGAGATTTGGAATCGAAATCATCAATAATACCCGTCATCATTGACACAAATTAAACATGTTGACTAAATAGTTATTAGACTGAAATCATAAATTTGAAATGTTTTTGTGCCAAAAGTTTAACACAAACTATCATCATAATTTTTTCGAAGAAATTAATTTAAGAAAAAATTAATTATTAATTAAGGAAAATTAATTTAAGAAGATAAAAAGTTCTCAAATTTATTATTTCAGTCTAATAATAATATATAATATAATATTAAATAACTATTTACTAAAGATGTTTAATTTTTATCAATAATAACATGGATTGACTATTTCCATTATAAATATCTTGAGAACAGTTGCTCATAGCGATTTTTACCAAGACATTTATTACGTAAAAAATCACGGAAATGTATATTTTTTCACTCAGTAGTTTTATACAGGCACGGACGAAAAGTTATTACTCTTCAAAACAGATAAAACACATGTAGGTGGCGCCACCTATTTCTCACGTCAAATAACTCCGAAATGCCAATTTTCATCCAAAAATTGACGTTACTGCAGAAGTTATTTGGAAAAAATCGAAATAAAAATGAAACTTCTATACACTGTATCTCCGAAACTAAGCATTTTAGGACATACATTTATACGAACTTTTTTACTCATTTTCATCTGTAGAATATGCTGCCGAAGTTTCCGGAATACAGTTCGGCCACCCTGTATAATAATAAGACTGAAAATTATTATTATTGAGTAAAGAATCTGGACAAATCGCAAGGTCATAATTCATATAGAATAAAAATATGATAAAAATTCACTAAGTTTTGGAATAAGTATGAAATTATGCAGTTTAAATTGTAATAGTTAATTTAATACCGAAATTCAAATAAAATATATACCTATTCTGGAAAAACACCTGTCAACATTCAGTGAGTTATCTATAATAAAGTCATAACCATTTTTTTTGCAAATTTGAAGATTTTAGAACACATTTATTCAAAAAAAAGTCTTAGTTAGAAATTTTGCATAATTGCTGAATGTCCAGCAAATTGCATTAGGTCGATCCACTGTGCGACGCGACGGCTCTACGTGACGGTGACAGTACGTTATAGTGAGAACCGCGCCTAAAGGCTGATTCATGGTACACCGTGACGGGCCGGGGCCGTGCGACGGTGAAGGCACGGCCAAATATTGTCAAATGTTATTTATACGTATGCATTCATGCTAAGCCGGGCACGGGCCGAGCTTCGCCGAAAGGCGTCCGTGCCCCGTCCGTGCCCGGCTCGGGTACGGCCCGGTGTACCATGAATCAGCCTTAAATAAAAATAAAATCCCATATGATGTAGACTTTATCTGTATAATGTATATAATATTTTATAAAAAAATATTTTTTCTCCATAACAAATTAATATTCGCATCCGCGAATATCGGTTAGCTGTAAAACAATTTTAAGGTAATTTAAATATAGTTTCTTAATTCTTTTTATATTTTCTATTTTACGAATTTAATAATGGAAATGGGTCAAGTATTGGAAGAGTATATTCAATCCAAAAATAAAAACTATGATGTATTTTCAATTAATAAATAATATGAACTTACCTTGATCATCATAGCTCCAGTGTATATCGACATCATTTTCTTCGTCATACTTAGTTTGTGCTTTCAATTTTGGGACAAAAACTATTAAGAAAATGTAAATTAAAAAGAAGTTGTTATGCATATTAATATAAAGCTTCTGGTGAATATTATATTTTAAATAATTTAACTTTGAGCTTAAGGTTTTTATAAGTTTTTTTATCGGTAGGTACTATGCGACTGGCTACAAAAAAATAGAAATAGTTATCAATTCTTAAAACTATTTAATTTCTATATACGCTTACATGAACTAATAATTAATTATGTTGGAAATATCGCGAAACTAGGTAATTATAACAAAAATACATTTTACATAAATTTGAAAAAAATTGTCACTATAATTTTAACAAATTGCTAAATATACTCACCTACCGTTCTAAAATATCACAATTATTACAATACGTGTTATATCAATTATATTATTTAAAATAAACTTACCTATAATTAGTGTCGCCGCAATTATTAGAAAAAAGCAAACTATTACTGAAATTATAATAAATTTCTTATTATATGGTCTGAAAGAAAATACCACCATTTTTAAACTCTATTAAATTTTTAAAATTAAATTAAAAAAAAAACAATAATAATATCTTAATGACTCTGGTCTAAAGATTCTTTATATGTCATTTACATATATAAATTTTATTTGTATTAAATTTATTGCCGCCGAGATAATGACACAATTAAACCATTTTGATGAATGTGTGAACTTGTGCTATAATATTTGGAAATGAATTTAAAATAATACTATACTTAAACAGATTTCTAATCGTTATATATTATTATTTATTTTGTTACATATATAAAAGTCGGTTTGGTACAGGGTGGACATAAAAATATTCATTTAATTATTTCTCTATTGCCTTAAGATTTTCATAACTTACTTTATTAATTTTTAGATTTTGTATCTATTGACTAACTACAGGTGTGCCCGGTGGCGGTGGTGCCCCTCCTCCCCCCTAGATCCTACTGGGCACTACCAGAAAAATCTTAAATTTTGACTGAACGATGACTCTGCTAAATATTAATTTTTATTTGCTTGTGATGTAGTAAAAATTATTTTTTCCATTTTATTTAGTTAATATTATTTTTCTGTGTTCAGAAATTGTGTATTAGTGTTTATTTTTTACAAAATTTGTAGGTATTTAAGTAATCCACGGGAACACGGGTGGATATAACCAAGTCTATCAAATTTATTGATAGAGAAATTCATGTAAACGTTTTATCCAAAAAATGTATTTACATTATTACAGTGGGTAAATTCTTCACGTAAAAATAAGATTTATTTTTATATCAACATATACTTAGGTCCGATTCTGCTTTGTTTCGTAGCTACAAGTGGTTAAACTCTTAATTTTTTTTCGATTTTGTATAATTATCTTTCAAGTACTTTTAGCGATTCGAATGAATTTTTTAGGATAAAAGTTACTATTAGTGCCACATATTTTTTGGTACTAAAAAGTGTTGACAGATTCACCAGCGACGTGCATGTTGTTATCACTGTAATATTTTTCTAAAAAAAACATTAACCGAATTTATTAGTAAATTTTATTAAAATTTATAACATTGATGTTCAGTATTACTTACATCAAAGTTTAAAAGTTTTAACATCCTGTAAACTATGTATTAACTCCGCATCCGTGTTTATAGGAACTTTTTTTCATACTTTTTGATGGGGACTCAATGAGTACTTATTTAACACTGTGATCTGTATAATTTGTAATTATGGGGGGTAATATTATGGGGGGTAATAATTATGGGGGGTAATATTATGTAATTAAATACACAAAAATCTATAAGATCGCGGTGATGATAGCTCTCCCATTCTACCCAACCAAACCATTCTACACTTTGGCCCAGGGGCGAATACAAGGATTTATTTTAGGGGGGGGAAGAAAAAAAAACGTTGATACCCCATATGTGCGGTAAATCTGTCGACACTTTGTTTACATTAAAATATCGCATTTATAGTAACTTTTGCTTTCAAAATTTCATTCGAATAGCTAAAAGCACTTAGAGAAAAATTATTATAACAAATAGAAAAAAAAGAAGACTGTAACTTTAGCTACGAACCAAAACAGAATCAAACCTATAGTTCATACCAAATAAGCTTTTTCTCACATGATGCAGCTTGACCGGCACAGCGTTGCCCACTTTTACATATTTTCTTTTAGTCAAAATACTTTTGGAAACAAAAATAATTTAATTGTAAATATATAACCAGTTATTATTTACCAACAAAATTAATCAACAAAACTTACTTTCTTAACAGCACTTAATGGACATAAAGGCTCATTACTATCGCTTTCCCATTCAAAATATTCTAATAAAGTGCCGATGATTTTTTTACAGCCGTTAAGCTATTTTATACACTTTGCACTAAGAGAGGTTCTAAAAAGAATAATCTTCGACTGCAAGGTCTGCTGGTAAACATTTTTAAGCATAAAGTATCACAACACTATTTATTTAAACCAAAAACTCGTAATACAAAACTAAAGTGTCAAAACGAATGACAATGTCAGGAAATAAATAAATAAATAAATACGACAAATTGCAGCAGCTACAATTGCTACAGAAGAGCTACCACCTGAATTCCTAGCGGGAAATTTAAATTAAATTCCAGTTAGTCAGCCCGGCGACGCCGAATATTTCCATGGTTGGCAATAACGAATTTAAAAATCACGCCCTCGATTACTTAACTAAAAGTTTAATTGATTAGGCAATCGCATGCAAATTTTGAACTGTCCATATATTGGTTCCCCTGTTACTTCTAGCCATGTTGTAAATAGGATTTTTAAAGGTATCCGTATGCTGAATACATATGCCAAATTTGAACAATTTTGGATAAGTCGATTTTAAGTAATTTAAAAGGGGGTGCCTATTTTACTGACCAAATTTAAAATTTCCTTTTTGAGATTAGTTGAAAGTAATACCACCTTAATTTTGCTAATACCACCCAAAAATAAACTACTACCACCTTAACTTTGCTACTACCACCCAAAAATAAATTACTACCACCTTAATTTTACTACTACCACCCAAAAATAGACTACTACCACCTTAACTTTGCTGCTGCCACCCAAAACTAAACTACTACCACCTTAATTTTGTTACTACCACCCAAATATAAACTACTACCACCTTAACCCTCAACTGGTAACACGCGTCTGAGAGACGCTCTTGTTTACATTTCTCCTCACAAACGCAGTGGCGCCTCACTTGGCACTACCGCCGATCAGGGTATGCCTAGCTCACTTACTGGACACATTATTCTGGGCGGTAACAAATTTTCACATATATCTTTTTATAGCCGTGCGAAGTTTTTTATTTGAATCAACCCCGTTAAAATGTCTCGACTTCATACATTTGCTAGCAGAGAGCCTCATAACAAAGCATGTCCAACGCCGATTAACTATTCCTAATCTTCCAGACTGCCTAAAAAAATTATAAGGGATATTTTGGAAGATGTGGAACAACCAGTATCAGGCTCAAAAGATATATCGGACAAGCTTTCAAAGAGAAAGACATGCAGGTCAAGACATTGGCCTTACGAAACAAGAAGACAAACAGCTTACAAATGTACGAAAATGTATGAAATGTTGTAAGACACATTCATGTTATATAGTTGTTGTTTTTTAGGACTTTTTCATACAAAAATTACTTTCAGTTTTTTTTTAAAGTTCAGTTTTGAAAGTGTTTTTTCGTGTTGAAGTGCGGTGAAAATCTCAGGTACACTGTTAAACAACAATAATTGACATTTTTTTTTAAAATAAAATCAGAAAATGCTCTTATACCCGGCAAAGGTACGTTCGAAAATTGTAAAATCCTGTCTACCTTAGAAGATTTCACTGAAGAACCAAACCATATACATCACTGTATTGTTACTGCGGTGATGCGAGTCCAAACACTATACCTACAGTAATGGTAATTAAGGTTGTAGTAGTTTATTTTTTGGTGGTAGTAGTTTATTTTTGGGTGGTAGTAGCAAAACTAAAGTGGAAGTAGTTTATTTTTGGGTGAAAGTAGCAAAATTAAGGTGGTAGTGGTACGTATTTAGATAGTAGTAACGTATATAAGCTGGTCAGTAAATTATGCTGGTCAGTAAAATAGATTTTCCCAATTTAAAAGGTTTGCCCAACAATACAAAATCTGATAAATGCCCAAGGATATGCCAACGTACCTTAAGCTGTCAATCTATGATTTTATCATTGTCAAATGTAATTTATTGTGCTGTCTACACTACTACGTTATAGTACCTACGCTTAGTGTTCCCGAAATCTATTTTTGTAAGTTAAAACTGATTCGAATGGGGTTAAACATTGAGAAATTATTAATTGACATTGAGAAAATTATAGGATGACAATTTAAGGTACGTTGGCATTTGCCTGATTTTGCATAGTTACCTGTTCAGTTTTATTTTAAAAATAGATGCATATTTTCTTAAATTACTTAAAATCGGCTTGTCCAAAATTGTTCGAATTTGGCATGTGTATTCAGCATACGCAGACCTTTAAAAGACCTGTTTACGACTTAGCTCTAAATTAATAGTTGAGCGAAATTTTGGACAATTCTAAATTTGCATGGGATTTCCTATGTTTCCAATGACGATGCACCATCCAGTATGTAAAGTTATAACAAAAAAAAATTGATAAAATAGGAAACAGGATCTAGACTGTAGAAGGTGTTGATTAGGTTAGGCCTAGGTTTGACAAAAGGTATATCCATCTTATATTTTTTATGATACATATCAATAATTTGGTGACTTAATAACAAAATTCTAGTAAACTTACATAAAGTTATGGATTAAGATTAAAGAATTTTTATTATTCCCCTCGTGACAAATTTCTGATATCTAAATCTGATTTTACTATCACATATTAATTGTATTAAAATCAAATCCTTAAATCCATTATCTCATTTACTGATTTTTATTATGGTATTCAAAATTAAATATTTTTGATCAAAAAGAAAAATGCGAATTAATATTTGATTAGAATGGTTTGAACCAAAGACATCTAAATATAGGTAGACAGAACACTCCATTCATAAAACTCAATTTTTTAGAATCATACATGGTTTGGCACTTTTATGAGAGTTAAAAAGAGATGGGTACATAAATATGACAACACGGTTGAGTTTCGGCTGTCTTTCTGTCATTTCACTTCATCAGTGGCGTGACGGTGGTGTGGTGTTTTTTTATCAAAAATTTTAAAATAGTTATTTTGTGTATTTTAATTTAAATTTTAATTTGTAATATACGTAGTAATATCGATAATATAAAATGTAGGGGCGTTTGCACCAAGTTTTTTTAAGCAAAACTTAACATTATGTTTAGCTTATTTTCTTGCACTTGCTTTAATCTAACTTGAATTTATATTTAAATTAAGCGGTCAAATTTCCAGGCTAGTGGCCACTTAACCTATCTTAGACACAAAAAAATTGTTTTACGAGGAAGAATTATTGTTATTCCTTTGAGAAAGCTAAAAAGTGTATTATGATACATCTACGTAAGTTCGATGATTACTTTTGATATCCTAGACGTCGATCAGTAGGTATATTCATTGAAAATGGATTTCCTCAAGAGTGGATGTAAGGAAAAATCATATTGCCAAGAAATGAACCTCCTTAAGTTTTTAGGACAGAGACTTTTAAACGACACTGTAATATATATCATTATTAATTACCTCGGTTTAATTGAACAAAATCTAGAATATCAAAATGAGAGGTAAGTTGGAATGCTAGTAAATCTAATGTAAGATAAATTAATTATATTTATACTTTGAACCATTGTTCTTTAGTATTTCCAGAAACAACAGCATAACTGCCATAAATCAACAACAATTTTATAGTATATTTGGGTTTCCTGGGATTATAGGGATAGTTGATGGAACACAATGTAAGAAAACATTCACCTGGTAAGTACCTATATATTTTCTTCAATATTTATCAGCACAAGGTTTCTTATACTTTACAGGGGGTATTGATGGAGAGGTATTTAGAAATAGAAAAGCATTATTTTCCCCAACATTTAAATTACTGGAAATGCTAGTCTTAAAACTATAGACTTGATTGCTTGTTGGCATGGGTCTGTGCATAAAGCCACCATTTTTGGACATTAAGGACCCGCATGGAGACTGGTGACTTTTCAAATTAAATCCTGCTTGGTTAGTGGTCCGTATATTTACTTACTGTTAGATCATTTATATAAAATATATTCCTTAAATATTTGAGTAGGTATTCAATTTAGAAATATATTACGAATAAGATGAATTGAAAGAAATTTTTTAAAATTAAATGTGATAATATTCAAAGGGTTCATATACTCTATTAAATTATTTTATTATCTGTTATAAGGTGAGATTGCATATGCATTGAGGGGATATATGCAGAAATAGAGCTGAAGAAATGTTTCAGAATTATCGTTATATGGAAACGCCACTTTCCAATATGTGTTTTATGGTATAAGACCAAAATTACAAAACACAATGTCAGTTATTGTTGCACAACAGTGAGTTAAGAAAAATATTATCTGTTTAATTATAGAACAAAATTTAAAAAATTTAATGTATGTACTTAAATTTTTAGATTTTGTTGTTTCAATGTGCTACACAATACAGCCAGAATGATGCCTGAACAAGAGCTGCCGCCGTTAGATGAAATAAATATGGACCAAATTAATAAGAAGAGAAATAATAAATTAGTTTGAAAGATTAGGGCAATATTTTTTTTTAACTTATTCTAAACATGTTTTTATGTTGTTATTAAATCTCTTGAGTATTAATTTCTATAAAATATCATTATTAAATGTCTTTTATTCAGAAATAACATATATTACATTTTTTACATGACAATATAAACACTAATTAAAATTATTAAATAAGTTCTCTTTGAGAACTTTACTGTTCTTTTTTTATTTCAATGTCTAACAACCCTTTTTTTCTTTAGCTTATGTTCTTCTCTGTTTTGAATACTACTACTTTGAATTTTGCCCATCTCCATATTACAAAAGAACAGCCTTTTGTCTAGTAAATTAGTATCATCCCTTTTCTTCTGTTTCTTTGTAACCATCAGTTTTGTTTTGAGACTGAAAAAATATCTAAATATATTGAATTCTCTTCAAAGTAATAAAAAATTCAAAAACACAATGAAAGGTTAGTACTTACAATACCAGTACTCCTATTAGTTTTAGACAATCTATCACCATCATGTTTTTTAATCCCACAATGCTCTTCTCATTTTTACATTAATTGAATATATTATTATCTTCCGTTTTTGCTTTTTGTATACGTGGACCTCCACCAGTTAGTCAAAATATATTTCAATAATTGATTTTCTTTTACATAGTATTTATACATACGTTGTAAGCTTTCCATACAAATTAGAAAGCCCAAAAATCCCGTTTTTCTTTGTGACTATGGTTGACCTTTCTTTTAAAGTAAGTCCAATAATATACAATTTAATTATTTCAAAATTATTAAAAAGTATGTTGTTCTTATATTTTTGATAATTTTTTTATATGAATATTTTGTAAATCCATTCTGAGAGTTAAAAATATCAAAAATATTGTTGAAAACTAAATGGAATTTAGAGGCCTCCTAAGAAAACTCTGGGCCAGTTTATGTATCCCTTATAAATTCTATGTTTTCGGCGAATAAAATGACAATGTTAAAGCAAAGGATAGTAGCAGAAGATTGGATTTTTGTGTGGCAGGTCCTTTTAACATTCTTTCAAAAATACTTTGTACTGGTTCAGCTAAGGAAGCCTAAAAAAACATATATTATCTCTATTAATGTTATATCTCTATAATATTATTATTAGTCTTTTTAGACACATCCAAATTCACTAAAGGGTTTTAAAATTTAGACCTGGCCTTGTCATGGCAATTAGAACCTTCCATTAATCGTATTTATGCCACTGTCATATGGATTAGTGTATCATTCACAAAATTAGACCAGAACTAAATTTAAAACTTGATAATGAATCTTGGGGACAGATTTTGACATAATGGCTGTAGGACTAAATTATTAAATGGCTGATAACTTTACATTATTATAGTTCCCCTCCGCCCGCCACTCAAATATATACATAAAATAGTGTGTCCAGATAATAATTACAAGCACTGGGATCTCAGAAACAGTAAGAGATACAGCTTCAATTATTAGAAATTGCTTTTAACGATTTTACTTGATTTTTATATTTTTTGGATCCTCACATATAACCTTTGACTTATAACCATTATGTTTTTAAAATGTCACCCTGCATACCTATATTCATACCTGAATGGTCAATTCAGTTGATTCACTTATCAAAGATTTTTCTTAAGTAATCAATTAACTGATGCATTGATATTATTTTATTTTTCAATCTTCTAAGACCTATTTGTAAAGTATGTATTTTTCATTTTCTTTGTTTCCAAATTTTTACAAGACTTAAATTTCTACATAATATCATTATAATGCCTCATTAACATACTTCTTTCTGAAATTAAAATAACTTATGCACAATTTTACTTAAGATACAGGGTGGCGCCTCTTAAATGCTACCAAGGAGAAAGAGTTTGTATTGAAATTAAATTTTGGGAGTATATGTAGGTTAATTTAGAGCATTTAAACATATAAATGTGATAAAATATGTGTTTTTTTAAAATATGGAGTTCTACAGGGTGTCGCCAAAAAAGTTACACAACAAAGTTTTGTTTTTTGGAATGGGACACCTTATATATTATTTGATTTTCGGATTCTATGAGAAAAATAAAGGTGAATTTCATTATTGGACTAAAATGTAATTTTATTCCCTTTTATTTGAAATGAACACAGCAAGTTCCCTTTTATTTGAACACCCAGAATACTATTCCGATCTTTTAATTGCAGTGTGCATTCATCAATTAATAGAATGCTTAAGGTCAAATTTTAATTTGGTTAAATATACAATGAGTAAATTTCCATCTAGGTAGCTGTTATTGAAATTTAAAGTTTATTCATTATTTTCACCAAATGTGAAATATGACAAGCCTTACATTTTAGACATATGCTTCTTTAACAAAACTCACTTTTATTTCTTTCCTAGAATCCGAAAATCAATTAATATATAGGTGTTCCATTACAAAAAAAAACTTTGATGCATAACTTTGGGGACACCGCGCAGAACTCTTGATATTTCTATAAAATGCTTTCCATTATCCTACATATGCTCCCAAAATTACATTAACGATAAAAACCACCGTTCTCTTTGGAGCCTCCGCGTCGTAGGAGAGGCACCACCTTGTATATAATGTAGAGGTAATTTTTACCTTTTTCTGATACTTTGACGACTTTCTTGAGATAATAAATATCCAACTATTGAGAGATCAGAAGATGAGGATTGTCTTACTATGCTGTAAACAAACAAAAAAACATTAATAATTAATTTTTCAATAAAACCTATTTTCGTTTTTAATTTTTTCCTAAATACTAATAATTTCCTTCTATAGTATTAAATTTATCATTAAGCGAGAATGTTTCCTAGTGCAAAATAAAAGCTCATTCATAGAAAATATATGTAAACAAAAACCAACACTATGGCAAAAATTATGTAGTTTATGATCTTATACTGTGGAAGATAATTCCAAATAACATATCCTTGACAAAACATATAAAATAAAAGATAGCTATGTTAATTATACAGGGTTTCTGGATATTCGACCGATAAAGCTTGACAATGAGAAGCAACAAGTCTCGTATTTTTATAAAAATTAAGATAGGGAAGTAAACCCATAAAGTGCTTAATTAATAAGATACAAAGTGATATTAGTAATGTTATATTACGTTATATTGTTCTATTAGATATTATAACAGTTTCCTTGAAATCTATTACTGCTAATGACATAAACAAAGTGTCCCCTTTTCTGCAAGAAAGAGAGATGTCAATTTTTAAATAATTAAGACGGCAAACAGAAGCAGAAGAAATGTTATTTTGAAAAAGCTCAATGTGTCAAAGTATCCCGTCTACTATAGTTACGTCAAAAGTATGATTAAGAATGTATTTAGATTTTTTACCGCAAAAATTGTGTCTACGAAATTTCGCGTCTCTATTTCTTTAAAGAAATACCTGGATATGTCAAAATTAAACTTACTATTGTGACACCCTGTATGTTAAAAAGTAAATACTTCGCAAGAGGGTGTACACCTGTATTCAATAAGGCACAGTACACTACTTGACAATAATAGTTATAATGAGAGTATTTCATTTAAAATATATTACATACTAGTTGAAGCCTGGCGCATCCGCCACGACATCAGGAAAAAAAAATACTTTTTATTTTTTTTTAATTAAATGAAAAACAAAAAATCCGGCGATGACAGTTTTTAGAAGAGCCAATTAGCTATCTTTTAGTAAAAAAAGCAACTTTCTAGAGCAAGTCGTTACTTCAGTATTAGCATTTTATATTATTATTATATTATTATATTATTATATATATTACTTTGTTATGCATACAGCTATATTCCCATTCTGTTAAAAATACAAGAGATTTTAAGCCTTGTCAGTCAAACATCCAGAATACACTTACAAAGAGCACATACTGGTTAATTCCAACTTCTTTTTCCAATGCCGTTTCTGTTGTTTTGAGGGAAGGGCTTCTTGAGAAGGGCTAGTTTATCTTGTATGACTTTAGGCAAAATCCTGTAAATTTTAATTAATTATCAATATTAAAGTACATGTATAAAATGTATCAATGTTCTTACAAATTTGAGGGGCCAGCCAAACTGCCAATCGCGGGACTAGGTAGGGACCTTCTCTAGTCCCTCAGCTGGTCTGGAGGTTCATTTACCTAAAACATTTCTTGGGTGGCGGTACAAACTAGAAGAAAACCTAGAGTAAATACTAATATTAGTATAATACTTATTTATTAACTGTTAAAATGTATTTGACTGCTTTTTACCTGTATGATAAAGCCCCAGCAAAAATGGTACTATCTATTTGAGGCTCAGAATTTGGTCTTATTTGCCTTCGATCAGTTAATTCGGGATCATAATATTGCTCTTATCAAAATCATCAGAACAAATTTGGACACACATTAGTTTGATTTTTCAAATTCAAGAGTGAAATCGATCATTGTCTAAGCTCAGTAATTATAGGAACGCTACAAAAGTACTATTGGTTACATATGCAACACATACATATTAAGTATTATAAATCTATTTAATAATATATGTAAAATAATAAAAATATGCGGTAAAAAAAAGGAAAAATTAACCTAAAGGAAAAATTTTCCAAGGTTTATTTTCCTCTATTTAAAACACCAGCTATGTACTCGTCTGTGAATTGTGTGCGTGTGTATGGGTGTATAGGTAAGTGTGGGTAAAAGTGTAAAGGGTTCCAAAACTAAAAAAAAAAATATCATAAATGAAAGAGTAAAGAATTATCATAAGTAAGGCTTATCATTATTATTCAAAACAGTGCATATTTTTTAAGTACTGAAGCATCATTATAATTTTATTTATTTTATTAACTTTTTTAATTTGAATTTTGAATACCTATATCTAAACCTTTCCTATTATATAATTACTTATAGAATTTTTTATAATAAATAAATAATAGATCAATCATGTGTTACGGTTAATATCTAAAACCTGCTAATGTTAACTAGAGTTCAATAATATTAATATTTAGATTGCAAAAACAGTTTTCTTTCAACATTGGGGGAGAAATGTGGAAATTATCTAGCCAAAGTCTGAAGTAATTATAAAAATTAAATGTCTTTAATTGAACATTAGCTAACTTTGTCATACTAATTTAGCATACATATAGGTACATAGTTAATATAGAATATAACTGAATAATTTTGATGTTCAAATCGTGTTCAAATTTCAGGTATTAACTACCTATAACAGCAACAGCTGTTTTATTTCAGCAGATATTAGCCATAACATACACAATTTTTAAGATATTTATAGCGGTTTCGAATGTTAGTTGGTACTTAGATATAATATAAAAAAGGTTTTTAAATGTTAAGTTGAGAACAGCCAGTATTACCTCTGAGCATTTTTTACCACCAACTGTAACAGCGAAATGGACAAATACTTAAAATAATTGACTTAAAACGTAGATCGGTTTTGCCAAGGTTTTGCCTGAGGTCTAACTGAGGATAAGTCTAATTTCACAATCAAAAACGACAGCAAATAAGAAAATATACGTATTTTTGTAATAATCTACTTATAACTAAAAGTACTTAGATACGCTACTGTAAAGGCATTGCTAAAGGTAAAAAAATGTAATAACACTTACCGTCCAAATATCAATCAGGAGTTAGAATAGTCCACCTTTAACAAACTATGCACTGGTGAACCATTGTAGATAGTTAAAAAACTACTTTAAATAGTTTTCTTTGCAATAAACACTAATAATTATTCGAAAGTTGTCCGAAATCCACAAACACTTCCAACGGTCGCAGAAAACTCGCAACAATGCTCCGTTGGACAAAAGTTGAATGAATACGTCAAATGTCAGCGTAATTTCTACAGATTCCGACAATTCGTAGTAAAAATTAATCCGTAGCGATGCCGGATTGTCTTAGTAATTTCCCTAATATATTTTAATCGTAATTTTAATATAATTTAATTAGAAAACTAATAATAATTTCAAAGGTATAATCCTAGTATAATTAATGTATTATAATTAAAATTATATATCTACACAAATATTTAGCCTAATGACCTTGTAATGACAATAGCATTTAGAACTCAAACCGTAATCAGCCGAAATCTACCACCGGTCGCTTAAAATTGGCATCATCGATTTTTGTGCAACACGGTTCGTGATCGCGGTAAAATGTAAATTGTTTCGTCTCCTTTTATTTAGATGTCTTTGGTTTGAACCCCCTGATAATACAGATAACATAGATATATAACGTAATACCTGCAAGTTGTTATCTTATAACTCGGATGCAACGTATGGCAATAAGCCAGAAGCACGTGTCTGCGGTTATCAGTTCCTAGAGGCCGATATTTCATCTATACAGGGTCCGGCAATAGTGCGTCGGGCATCTGTAGCTCATAGAATAAAAAACTAGAGAATTTTGTTGTAAGTGCAAATCTACATTATGTTCTAGGATGTATTTCAGGAAAATATTTTAACTTCTATAGGGTGGCTCAAAAAAGTGTGAGTGGATCGGGATGATTTTTTTTCGAGGGGCAAACCGCTGGTGGTATTTATTGTACAAGCACTTGGCAATACTGGTATTTTTTTGGTACTTTTGTTACTAATTTGGTATTTTTGGTACTAATTTGGTATTATTTGGTAATAAACTGGTATTATTTGGTAATAAACTGGTTTTATTTGGTATTAAACAGGTATTAAACAGGTAGTTATTGCATTAAAAATGAGCTGCCTTCGCGCTTCTTACACGATCAAAAATTTTTGGTGTTGACCTATTTTATATGAAGTATTTTAAAGTTTTTATATTTAGTGTCCAAGCTAAGTACCTACTTAACAATAAAATATACCTCGTAATATACATACTTAAGAATAATTACTTGTGTTTCGAGGTTATGTTGCTGACCTGTATGAAAAATAGGTTATTTCTACCCGATATTAATTGCCAAGCTTGCAATTTTTCAATGCATAAAAATGGTTTTTACGGAAAACGGCGTCATACTAAAAAATGTCAAGAAATTAAAGAACTCCCATCATGGAAACATAATATGGATCTCCTTAGAATTTCTTATTTTTCTTGTGCATATAATTATATTTTTGAGCCTATAAGTAAAAAATAGCGCAAATAACAAAAAATTCAATTACTTTTTATGTCTAGTTTTTATTTATAAATTTTTGAAATATCGATGTTAATGGAACCGTTAAAATGACTTTTTAAACGTGTCATGACAGTAAAAAAACCAAACCAAACACAGCCACAATATGATTTTTTGTAACTTTTGACATGAATGATTGTCGTAATTAGACTGTGCGATTGTTTTAAACTGTTCTAGAATCGTACTTTTTTGGAACTCGAATTAAGTTTATATGTTTTTCTGACCTAATTATCCTAGTTTGACATTAATAAGCTCTAAAGCTCCAAATATCTTAAATTCTTTAGATACTAAAAAGAATAATACTAATTTGGTATTTTTGGTTCTAATTTGGTATTTTTTTGGAAATAATTTGGCATATTTGGTACTGCTTTCTCAAAATTGGTATTTATTGTATGTATACCGTTTTTGGCAGCGGTTTGCCCCTCGTTTTTTTTAAATGGAACACCCTGTATATTATTTCATTTTTAGCTTCCTTTCAGATCACTTTACATAATTCTAAGATATGAGTAAATATATTTCGATAGTTTCAGAGATAATAATAAATAAATATAAAATATATATTTTTTAGCATTTCCTTAAAAAAAATATTAAAAATACAAGAACTGTCCCGAAATAAAAACTATATTAGGTATTTACTTTAGATGGTCTGCATTTACTCTGCTATAAATATAGTAACCTCAAATAATACTGGATGCTCAAAATTCTACGCCAAACTTTCGAAAATATAATATAAATTTTCTTCGTTTTGTTCAAATGGAACACCCTGTATATTATTTTTTTTCAATAGATGGAAAATTTAAAAATTAACATTTTTTTTTATTTAGAGTATTTCAAAATTTTTAACGGTTTTGCAGATATTCGCGGTTTTATATTTCATTTGGCATTTTCCACAGTAAATTATTATTGTTACGTTTTTCGTCGGTTCCGTGTGGATAGAAAGTCACAATTTATTTAAACACTATTTATTTAACACTAATTAACAAAACAATAACGATAAAAGACTTAAAGAACTATTTACAAACGATTTATAACTAAAAATTTATTTTGAATTTTTAGGCTCTGTAGGCCACAGCCGCCGGCTTTTATACCGAGAGCTAAAGATCTCTAGAATAGTCCATAGATCGTTAGGTGCATAGAGAAGGTTTCGATTGTTCTCGTATGTACTACTCCATTCTAGTGGAACTCGATTCTTCTCGAATCTTCGATGAATCATTACGGTGTCCATTCTTTAATGCGATGTTAAGGTCATCCGAGGGCGGGCCATATAGTTAGGTTAGGTCGAGTCCACACCGGTCCGCAACACTGCCCCCTTCTTAGGTACATGCTCGTCCCGAGATGTACACGGTGAATGAAGGTATTTGCAAAGCTGGCCCCTGGTACATTGCGAAGTCTGGTAGAAATAGCAGTCTACAGTTTTCTCTCCCGATCTCAGCTTTGGGTTGTAGCAGCAAACGAGGATCTCGATTCCTGTAAATCTGAACAAGACTTCATGTTCCGGATAGTACGCCAACTCAAACCATCGAATCCACACGCCAGCTTCGGAATGGCTAATCGTGTAATGTTGTTGTTTAGCAGGGCTTCTCTCAGTTCAATCAGGGTCTTCCATAGATTGAGATAAGTCGGCTTACTCGGGGACCATTCCTTGGTGACCAGGTAGAAGATGTGTCTTGCTTGACCATGTGCATTGTCGGTTAGCTTCAAGACGCTTCCAACCTCTGGATCCTGTCGGCGTAGTTCTCCGACACGCCCAAACTTCTCATTGAACGTCGCAGCCATTCCTCTGGACATCCGCAAATCTCGGGCCACACATTGAGCGAGTGAATAATCAGGAGGCACGGAAAAGAGGTCTCGTTGATCTTCTTTGGTTACACCATAGCGAGCTTTCTCACTGCTGTTGTATCGGGCCATGAAATCGTCAAAGGACATCTCCGAATCTGGGGGACCAAAGCTGCAGGTTTTCACGGTCCCAGCACGATCTTCTATTTCGCCTTGGTAGGGGCTCAAACGGTTGAAATGGACTACCCTCGGTTTTCCTTTTGGCAATTTTCTGATACGGTATACGACGTCATTAATCCTATCCATGACTTCGTATGGCCCTTCCCACGAGGATTGTAGCTTCGGAGATAATCCACAACGTCTCTGCGGGTTGTACAGCCACACCAAATTCCCTGGTTGGTATCCCCCATGCTCAGCTTGAATGTCGTAGTGCTCCTTCATTCGGTCACTAGCGCTTTGAATATTTAGGCGGACTCGCTGATGGATGTCGTCCATCCTTTGACGTAGTTTGTGGAGATAATCTTCTCCAGCGACATCTTCTTCCGGTCGGCCAAACCAAACCAAACCAAACTTCAGATCACAAGGTAGACGCACTTCCCGTCCCATATCGATGCTGGCTGGAGTTTGCCCTGTGGATTCTTGGACGGATCAGCGGTAGGCCAACAGGAACAGGTGAAGGAATTTGTCCCAGTCTTTTTGGTGGTCAGAGACTACTTTGGCCAAATAACGGTTGATGGTTCTGTTCATGCGTTCAACCATCCCATCAGATTGTGGATGTAGAGCCGTCGTCCTGGTCTTGCGGATGTTAAGGACTTCACAGACGCCTTGGAACAGATTGAACTCGAAGTTTCTTCCCTGATCGGAATGAAGCTCCATGGGAACACCAAACCTGCAGATCCATTCTTTAACAAGGGCATCAGCAATGGTGGACGCTTCTTGATTTGGCAACGCGTAGGCCTCGACCCATTTGCTGAAGTAATCCATCACTACTACAATGTATTTGTTGCCATCGTTCGTCTCTGGGAAAGGACCGGCCACGTCGATCGCTATTCGTTTGAAGCAGAGTTTCTTAAAGTGTGGTCCACGGACCCCTTAGGGGTCCATAGCATGTGTATGAGGGGGCCGTGGTCCGTATTACGCCAGTTAACTGTAAACATATTTATTAAGAAAGAAATAGCGTAGGGCGGCATATTCAGTAGGTATTTAATCACTAAATACTAGGCCGTGCGCGTAAGGATAAAAAAAACAAAGTTGAAGCTGTTCCCTTATCAAACGATGTTATTCATTTTAGAATTGTTGAAATGTCGTCAAATATTTAAGTCGTTGAAGAATTAATTGCTTCACCGTTTCCATTCAGCATTCAATTGGATGAAAGCGTTGGGTGTTAAGGGGACAGGTCTTAAAGCGATTGTTTGAGTTGAGGGCAGAAGTGTTACTTTTTCTAAAAGATAAAGGAAATTCTCTGTCTGAAGAGCAAAGATTTTGTACGGAGGCTAGCGTATTTGGCAGATATATTTACTCAATTGAATGATATTAACTTGTCTCTTCAGGGCTCTGCGGTGACCATCGTGGATGCATCTGAGCGATTGAAAGGTCCATATGTAAACTGCCACTTTAGAAAAGGAGGGTGGAACTCTGTAACTTTGCAAATTTTCCGATGTTTGAAGAGTTAATAGCTCAAGGTGACTGTAACACGATATCAAAAATGCTACAGAAAGAGGTGTCTAAACATTTGGATACATTGCAAACTTCTTTTGAAGGCTACTTTAACTTAGAATCGCTTGAAAATGAAACGTGGGTGCGGGGTCCATTTATAATCGACACGGATAATATCAGCGATGAAGATCTCATTAAAGATGATTTAATTGGCATAAGAGCAAAAGAAATTTTCAAAGCTGAATTTCATGCAAAATATCTTGGCGAGTTTTAGTGTTCTTTAAGTCAAGCTTACCATTTTCTTGTCAAGCGAGCTATGTCCGTTCTGATACAATTTGCTACTACGTGCCTTTGCCGAGGCAGGGTTCTCGGTTCTGGTCTCAATAAAAACAAAAAGTCGCAACCGATTGAACGTCGCAGATGATATGCGCCTTGCTTTGTCGAAGATAACCCCACAATTTAACGTTCTCATTGAGTCTAAACAGCAGCATCCTTTTCACTAATTTACTAGTGTACGTGTAATAAATCTACTAATAAACGTTTTCTTTTTTATGTAAATAAGGCTTTTTTATTTTCCTCTATTATTTCTGATAGGGGTCCGTGGAATTGTACAAATTGCGAAAGTGGTCCGTGACTGCAAA